TACAGCTTGTGAAAACTGTTTGGTGTTCCTGTGGGAGCACCTCAGAGGTCTTGCATGTTTCTCTGCTTCTGGCAGAGCACTGAGCTGGGTGAGGGTTGGGGTGCAGTCAGAGGCCTCATGTAAAGATAAGGATTTTCTTGTTTTGTTCCAGTTGCCAATGATAATGCTCCAGAACACGCCCTGCGACCTGGCTTTTTGTCCACCTTTGCCCTTGCCACAGATCAGGGCAGTAAGTTAGGACTCTCCAAAAACAAAAGTATCATCTGCTATTATAATACCTATCAGGTGAGTAACCTCAGTGTGCCCTGTCCTCAGCAACATGAGCTGTTCTTGCATTACATTGAGTAAGAGAAAGAAGGTTATTTAAGCTCTGGTAGATTTTCACTAGGCTGCTATTGAAGTAATTTTGATTTGTTTCTTACACAGCTTTAGTTAAGCCTAAATTTCACAGTATTTTTTAAACTTCTGTTACCTTTCTCATAACTTGAGATTTACTTGTTGACAATGGGAAAGTGTACTAGTTCTGAATTTGCAGGAGATGTTGCTGATATGCTCTTCTGAATCTTTTATGAAGGGTTTATGTTCTTTTTTATAAACAATGTTTATAACTAGTGACACCTAACATGAATTAAAGCACCTGCAGCCTGCTTCATAGCTAATGCTGCTGCCAGTATGACTTTGAGGTAAGAACACTTCGAAATACCACTCACGTATTTCACAAATAAATTGATTATTTGTGTCCAAAAGTCCATCATCTACTACATTTCTGCTCCTTCACAAGTTCTGGTGGTCCTGAGAGCTTTTAATTACAGCTGCAGTAAACTGGCCAGCTGTTTAGCCTGCAGTGTGTCAAGCTTTGTTTGGAAATTAAGTGGGTGAGTGAGTTAGTGCATTGCTTTGACTCTCTTGATGCTGCTAGCTTACTGTAGTGCCCATGGTGCCGTTTCCCTGTAATGGAGGAACAGATACTCCTGTACAGGGAACAGCAGTGCAAAACAATAAACCTGCCTGCCCTCCTGTTTGCTGTGGAGGGTGTGGTCTCCACAGTGTAGTGTGCAGGGTCTGCAGCTGAGGCAGGCTTCTGGTGGACAGCATTGTGTAGAACAGAGTGGAGGTGGAGGGAAATGCCAGGTTTTCCATCTGCAGCTCCCTGTACTGTAGCGTAAGTTCTGTTGGTGTTTTTAGCCATGAATCTTGAGAAACAGGTACACTGAAAAGTCACCTCTGTGGCTCTTGCTCCTGCTTGTCCTTTAAACTGAGGAGGCTGCTTGTTGCAGAAAGAATTTTTGTGGAAAGAATTCATCAGAGCCCTGGTGTGCACGATGTGTTGGCTGCTGGCTGAGCACTTCTCTCTCCTTGCAGGTGGTGCAGTTCAATCGCTTACCTTTGGTGGTGAGTTTCATTGCTAGCAGCAATGCCAATACAGGTATGTCTGCACATGTGTTTTAAAGATTGCAGTATTTTAATAATTGAAAATAAATTCCCTGAATTCACCGCAAGCTGTGTTAGCTTTGTTCCTGCTGTGAATTTTGTCAGTGTATTGTGAAAGGTGTGAGTAGAAATTGACAGATTTTAGGTGTCTTGCTGGAGTTGTTATTCTTCTAGAAGCATATTTCTCCTGTGATTACCCTTGCCCATGCTGCGTGGGCAGTACTGTGCTGTACAAGCCAGCTGTTGGGTCTCTTTCTGTCAGTCAAGTCAACATTCTGCAGGAATGTGTGCAGATTTGTCTTCAGTTCTGTGGGTGGGGAAGTCCTTCAGCCAGGCCCTAGCCCTGCTGGTGAGGACATTGGCTAATGAATCTGAGCAGAAGGGATTTAGTTCTGGTGCAGCTTCTTGGGCCACAGTAGCTATGCAAGTGGCAAGGCAGTAGTGGGGGAGAGTTGTGCTGCACTGGGTGCCTCTTTTAGTGCCAGGGACTGCAGACACCCTGCCTGGGGGTGCTGCCCACTATGCACAGGAAAGTGAGGAGCTCACATGAAACATTTCAGGCTTTGAAAAACACTGCCTGTGACTTGGGAGGGGGAGGGAGCTGTGGGCTTCGGACTCAGTGATGTTGTTTGATGGAACATTCTGCCTCTTCTCTCTTGCCAGGGCTGATTGTAAGTTTGGAGAAGGAGCTCACGCCCCTGTTTGAAGAACTGAGGCAGGTTGTTGAAGTTTCTTAAGCCGATGGTACAGCCAGAGTGCAGCATTCCTCTGCAGCCCAGTGGACAGAAAGATTCAATAATCATCAGTCAAATAACACATCTCGGAAGAAATACCACAGCTCCTTAGTATACTAAGTAAGAGTAAATTGTACATAGTACTGAATCTGAAATGATCTACTAGTGTGTTGTAGGTGGATGTTACTTTAGGCCATGCTTCTTGTATTGTGCAGTACTGGAGAGCCCACCAAAATAGCTCCCATGGAGTTTAGCTCAGCCAGCTGAGCCAGGCCGGCGCCATGCCCTCGGCTCCAAGGAGCGACCCCCAGATCTCCTGCCTCACAGGGCACGTGGCACATGGCAGGGGTGTGCTCAGGCCGGCCACCACTGCCTGTGGGAAGGCGCATCAGGTGGAGGGAGTGAGCAGAGACGTGCTTGGAGGCATTGTGAGAGCAAGTGTGATAGCAGTGATGTGTCGGTACAATCAATGTCCCAGCTTCCTTACACGGGGGGCACTTTGGCAAGGGAGTGCTACTAATCTGGATGCTAGGTGCATCCTGCTTCCACTAGGAAGAAAGCTGTTTCTATGGAAGCTATTGCTGTAGGGATTTTCATGATGCCTAGCTAAAAGCACCCAAACAATGTCTCACTTCTTCATGGGGTTTTTGTGTAATATGGTTGTGAAGATCTCATGTCTCATAGTCTTTGTGTGGGTTCATCACTGGTGACACTGTCAGCTTATTTACCCTTAGGTTTTCTTAAGTAAATAAATATAAATAAAATACAGTATTTTTAAATGACAGAGCCTGGTCCACTCTTCTGTTGCACTGTAATAACCCCACAGCACATCTGCTTATCTCTAGAGAGAGCAGCTCTCTTAATTGTTTGTAAATGTCCAAACTCCATGAATTATACACTGCAAACTAACCAGTGTGTCTCTCAGTTGGGCAGTAAGGATACCAAGTCCCAGGGCAGAGCAGAGATCCTGTTGCTGGGGGTCAAGCCTGTGTTCTTAGCCCCATCCCTTGTTCCCTCCCACGTCCCCTTATGACAGCTGCCAGGCACTGCAGGTCTGGGGACAGCTCTGGGCACAGTCTGTGTCCCAGGCTGGGAAAGGGAATGCCATGGCCCTTGCTCACACCTCACTGACCTGTGGTGCATCAGGCAGGATGGGGGAAACAGTGGTGCTAGAAATGACAGCTGGGAGTTCTTGTCTCAAAAAGAGATTACAGCTTGTCAGTCAACCCTTTTCCATTTAAACTAAGCTGGATTGGGACTTTGGTTGCTGGTCATTACAGAAGCAGCTGGAAGGTGTGTGTATTTCTGGCAAAACGTGTTTGTGTTCCAGCAAAGGCCTCCCTTTGCTGTTTGCTTCTGTTCAACCCATCTGTCTGTGACAGCTTCCAAGGCCACCCAAGTGCTGTTTCTTTCACTGGCTTCAGTTTGTGACACTGTGCTGAGCTTGTGCCCAGTGTTTTGTGAGGCAGCCTGTTGCTGTGAAAAAGGGAAGGCAATGTTTGTGGTTTCCCCACAAGCTCCATTTCCAAGCCATGTTCACAGGACACCGATGCTGTTGGAGAATATAATCTCTCTCTTCCCCTTATGCCGCCTCTCTCTCACAGAAACTCAGCAAAGGTTTTAACTAAATGGGAGATGTGAGTTTGTTAAAGCTTCATTAAGGGAAAAGGGAGGACAAAGCTTTAGCAATACAGTGCAGGAATATAAAAGACCTGTGGTAGTTTTATAATGACATTTTATTCAGAAAACAGTCTGTATAAAAATATTTACAAATACTTTGAATTTCTAAGTTGAAATAAAATGCTATTTATATGTCCTAATTTAGATTTTCTTTCTTCTTCCAATGTGCTTTTGCCTTCCTCTTCTGCGCTCTTCTCCCAGCAAAGGCAATTATCAAACACTTTCTGCATGATCAATACCAAACACAGACTGCAGTGTTGCATAGCAGGAGAGGTTTGCAGATGCTGTTTCAGCACAAATTTGATTGCTATGCAGGGAGAGAGGGTCCCCTCTCTTTGCCAGCCCTCGAGGAGGCACAGAATTGCTCAGGGGATCTTGCAGCTGGGTCAGTCTGGTCTTTAGCCTCTCCAGTGGGTCAAACTTTGCTTCCAAAATGTAACACCTATTTAGAGTACAGCACCAACATCATGGGGTTTCACTTCTTGTCTCTCTAGTGAGCCACAGCACTGTTAAATGTGTGTCCTATGGTTTCTCAGAACCCTGGTTTGTATACAGATGTGCTTCCATGATGCTGCTCACCATTACCTACAGGTGCTGTTTGGAACAAACGTTCCCTTGTAGCCACCACTGTGGAATAAAGCTAAACCATATAAAAGTTTGTTTGACATCTGTCACTTTGAAAAGGCCCTTGAAATACTACTCTCTGGATTGCAATATAGATGCTATTTACAAAATGTAATTCTGTCATTTTTCTTTTGGTTTAAAGCCTAAACAGGTAATAAAAAGATATTTAATGTTTCCAGAAAGGACCTGTTTTAAATAAAAGGTTCAAGGTTACAGAATATGATACCAGTGCTTAGTTGTGATGCAGGTTGTAATAAATTAATGAGTGCTCTGAATAACCCCAAAAGTTTTGAACAGTGCCCACTTCTGTGATTAGGTGGCAGGAGTTTGAATTAAGTGCATTACAGGCATACACCAAACCCACACTCTGGCTCTGCAACCATCCCCACGCGTGACTCGGCAGCCCCAGAGCAGCCGGAGCTGCAGGATCCCGTGTGTGCAGCGCTGGGTGACCTCTGTGAGGGGCACAGACAGCACTGCAGACCTGAGGCTGCGCTCTGGTAAGCAATGCCTTCCCTTGGAGAGAGGCAATCCTGCCCGCGGAGCAGGAGCGCTGGCACGGCGCTAGGAACTGAGGGTGGCGCTGCGCTCCTCCAGCTGCTTCCGTATCTGTGACTGCAACAGAAACACAGCCCATTATTACTGCTTGGCGGCGTGCATGTGCCTGTGGGTGAGTACAGCCCACCCAATTCCTGGTAGTTTTATAGGAAGTAGTGCTTTCAAGCCTTCACACGGTCTCCTCATTCCTGCCATCATGACTCCAGGACACGCAGGCTGGGCTGATGATCAGCATTGTTTACCAAGCACATATAATGACATCCTTAGAGATGGAAGTAATTTTTTCTTACAAATGAGTGTGCCTGTAAAAGTGCATCCCAAAAATGCTGAAGTGGGTTTGCAGAGATATACATTATGCCCCTGTGCATGGCACTGATGAGGCCACACCTCGACTGCTGTGTCCAGTTTTGGGCCCCTCAGTTCAGGAAGGTGCCTGATGCCAGAAAAGGGCAGTGGAGGGGAAGGGGCTAGATCGTAAGTCCTATGAGGAGCAGCTGATGGAGCTGGGGGTGTTTAGCCTGGGGAAGAGGAGGTTCTGGGTGACCTTATCACTCCCTGAAAGGAGGGGGGAGCCAGCTGGGGGTTGGTCTCTTCTCCCAGGCAACCAGTGACAGGATGAGAGGACACAGCCTCAAGCTGTGCCAGGGGAGGTTTAGACTGGACATCAGGAGGAATTTCTTCACAGAAGGGGTTGTTAGACATTGGAATGAGCTGCCCAGGGAGGTGGTGGAGTCACCATCCCTGGAGGTGCTTAAGAAAAGACAGTGTGTGGCTATGACAGTGCCACAGTGTCTAGTTGACAAGGCTGTGACTGATCAAAGGTTGGGCTTGATGACCTCAGAGGTCCTTTCCAACCTAATCGATTCTGTGATTATGTGAAAATGCATATTCTATTCTAGCTGGTCTGGCAGCCAGAGCAAGTTCTCACTTGCTGGAGGTGCTGAGAGCTGTAGCCCTTGGGTGCCCCAGTCCTGGGGGGCTGTGCTGGCAGCAGCAGCACACATCACCTTACCAGCTTCCACCGCAGGATTTTAATCCACTCGTCAGCTTCTATCCCCGTTTTTGCACACAGGTAGTATGTCCTTAGTGGGAACACTAAACTGCAAGCAAACAAAGCTTTCTTAAGTTGCTAGAACAACTGGCAGTTCTCCCAAAACTGAGCCCAGCTGGCCTGTGCCAGCAGTTGCTGAGACAGAGCAGGACAGGGAGGCTGAGCTCCCCTTCAGCCACCAGGAGGGAGATTAACCAAGAATGGGTGACAGCCTTTTACAGCCCAGGGTCCTTAAGGACAAGGACCCTTCTAAGGATAAAAGACCCACATTTGGGCACAGAAGAGGTTACCATGTGACCTGTATCAGTGTCTGACCCCAAGATCCATGAGTCTAGGTGATAATTATAGATGCTCACAGAATTAGAAATGCCCACTTCACATGGGCCCAGCTTTTGCCAGGAGTAATTTGGCAAAGCCATGCAGGACTGACAGAGATTGTCTGACAGAAAGAGACTTGAGAGTTAGAGGATGAGCAGGGTCACAACCACCAAAGGACCTTTCAGAAACCTTTCAGAAACACACATTGTTTATATTTCAAAATGCCCTTTGAACTTCCCAGCAACATGGAGAAAATCCTGCAACCTACCAGAAACAATTGACTCTTTCCTGGGAATAGTCAAATTGCACAGCTGAGCATTCAGTTAAGTCAAGTGCTCGAATTGGTTCCGTAGCCTTGAAGAGAAAATTTTTTAAAATGCGGACACATGAAAACAGAAGATAAGGTTATCTCACTTCATCTTCAGTGCATCTAGACTTTTACAGGCACCTCCACAGGTTTTTCCAGGCATAGTTACAATGGCTGTAACACTATAAGCACAAACTAGCAAGCATAACATCAGTGGTATGACACAAAGTGAGCTTAATACAAAAAATGCAGGCCTGTTCACATCTGGACAAGCAACAGAGGAGATCTCTACTGCAGGAATGTTTGAGCTACATGGAGGCTGCTGAGGGTTTGGCTGATGCCTTGTAATGTGACTGACACAGCAGCAAACCTGGCACCACTTTCAGCCAAGGTTTACAGAGACAAAGGCGTGGGTATGGGGGCCTATCAGACCAGCCAGCTGTTGGAGATTGAATTAATTCCTAAGTGCCTTAAAAGGATGAAGCTGGGTCAGGACAAATGTAGAAGTGAAGGCAAAGTAGTGCTTGCAGCAGAAGTGATAGGTTTGGCTGCCTGAGAAGCATGTGTGCACAAACACACAAGCAAACACACACACACAAATATATGTGTGTAAAAGTTTCTTTGGGTGAGCTGAGGTGCAGGGATTGTGTATAACAGCAACCCATCTCCCTCAGGAGTTTCATTCTCCCTAAGTGTGAGAGCTCTTCCTCCCTTTGTTTCAGCCTCACGTTGTTAAGGCCTCAGGAGAGACAGCTGAATTGCTTTCTGCCCAAACACCCTTAGCTGTTTCCATGGTCCTTCATCAGGTGTATGGAGGTGTCTGTTGCTCTCTCATCTTCCCTTAATATTTTTGCTGACTCAGTGGCTGTTAGCAATACCCTACATCAGAAGAAAGCCCCTTGGGCTGTGGTGTGATACCAAATGCTATCCCAGGGTTAGCTGCAGGCTGCCCACCTGTCGGTCCCTGCAACCCTACAGCAACAACAGGAGTGCCAGGAGACACTGGAGCTGCTGCCTGGAAGGAGACTGTAGTCCTGACAAACACAGGAGCTCTTCTTGCCTGGTAAGTCACTAATGGAGTGCTGCTCTTTGAAATGCTATCCTGCAAACCTAAGTTGTCTTGAACTGAAATGAAAACTGGTGGAAAGCCCTGCAAAAACATAACTGTTTAGAAATGGTAATGTTTGGTGAGAGAAGGCTTTTGTGTAAAAATCTGTTAGAATCTTGAAATGGGGCTTGGCAGAGGAGAACAGTGTGGATGTGTTTATGAAGGAACTTCAAACAGAGGCATTCTAAGGGCAAAGAAACTCCAGCTGTGTTTCTTATCTTTACTCAGATCAAGATAGAAATGGAGCAGCAACTGTAAGGATGCTGCAGATTAATCTTTGTCAGAAGGAATTTTTAAATGAATAGTTTTTCATGTATCCTGTGAGACCACTTGAAATAAGAGGATGAAATCAAAGAATGCAAAGGATACTATCAGTATTTTCAGAACTATTTTAGCAGCATGCTCTCTGTCAGGTTGTGTCTGAGCTACAAATAAAGGTTGTGTTGTGCTGATAGCTTAAAATCCACTTTACAAAGCAAAACAAAAATGTATTCTAGGCCAGGTTGGGCAGGGCTTGGAGCAGCCTGGTCTAGTGGAAGGTGTCTCTGCCTGTGGTGGAGAGCTTGGAAGAAGAAGATCTTTGAGGTCGCTTCCAACCCAAACTATTCCACGATTCTTTGCAAAAAATCCCTGTAAACTCTATACAGTAGCTAAGACTGGCAGAGCACAGTAAACATAAAACTTACTTTCTCTTGTTGAAGTCATCAGCAAAACTGAATTTACTTGACAGGTTTGACCCCTCTGACAGTTTGGGGAGCTTTAGCGTGGAAAGCTGTGATACAGATGTGAGAAGCCAGAGAGACAAGGAGGCTGCAGCTGCCTGTGTAGATGTTTAAAAGGTGGAATTGGTGTTTGCTACTTACTGTCTGGTCTTTGAAGTACTTCAGTTCATTCCTATGCAGTGTAAACCACCTTGTTTTCCAGTTCTGAAAGATCAAGAACGAATGGTAACTGCTTTGGGAGAGTTTAGTCTAAAATTTCTTGGGGAAAGAAAAACTTTCAAAGCTGCTGGCTTGCCCTGGTTTACAGCTGTGCTTTGTTGTTGCTCAAAACACAAATTGTTCCTCTCTGCAGGGAAATACAGGTGGAGCACTTTCAGCTCCATGTTGTCTTTAGCTTCTGTGGGTGATCACAGAGTGGAAGCAAAAAGTAAGAGTTTTCCTTACCTTGACTATTTTGCCTTGTTTTATCAAATATCCTTCTTTGGTACCGAGCTGTGAAGTAAGAAAGAAAGAAAGGGATTGTGGTTAGAGGCTGAGCTCTGCTTCCATGTCCCACATCCCCCCCTTTGCCAACATTGGGAAGATGCATCAGGTCTTTGGGAAACTCCCCAGAGCCACCTGCCCTCACTTCAGTGCTCCCCCTGGGCTGATCCTGCTGTTTTAGGGTGAACATGGAGCAGTGCTGGCTCTGGAGCAGCCCCCAGGCTGGAGCTCCTGCCCTGCCCTTCTCAGCCAAACACAGCACAACAGCTCAGTTACTCTTCATTTGGTGAAGCTGGATGGCTGTCCCTGGAGGTGTTGTGACCAGGAACACGTGGGGTTTAACTGACAGTGGAATGATCCCCAGGAAAGGCTCCTCAAATGCAGCCAGGGGAAAGTGCTGTTTTACTGAGCTGCTCTCTTCTCTCAACCAGGCCCATGCTAGACAGGAAAAACCTGTTATGTTCGGTGTGCTTTTGGAAAAATTGGGGTTTGAACTGTTTCTCTGGCATCATGAGTGACACTTAGACCTTATCACTTCTTAGGTACTGAAAATCTCTCTAGGGACCTGGCTGTGAGATCTCTGAAAATCAAAATCTTGCCAAGTTACTGCTTGTTCTTGAAAAAATGTTACCTTATTGTTGGTGGTGTGTGGAAGTCAAGCTTCTTTGGAGGTTAAAGTGTAACTTGGTGATGAAGGGTTGGTTGTGAGACACATCAGAAGTGGTTCTTCTTGCAACTTCATTAACCCATATTAACATAATTCTTCCTCTTCCCCCCCCAAAATACAGTGTACAGTTAAAATACTTTCCTCTCTGTTGAGAGCAAACTGTTTTGGAGAAACCACCTGTCTCACTTTGACGTGAGTTACAAGGGATTTAGAGACTCCAACTGCTGTTCAAGTGAGTCTCAAATGTCAGAATAGGTGGCCCAAATGTATATGATGATTTTTTTTGTATGCATTTTTTAAAAATTCACGATAATTTTAATAATGATTATTCTAAAGAAAATATTCTAAAAGATAATGTGAGAATGAAAATCTTTCACAGATTCTTTGTTTGGATAGTCAGACTCACCCAGGTTTTTCCAGGGACAGTATTGAAGTGACAACAATTATAAAAGCCTTTATTTGCCATGGGCCTGTACTGAGCAAGTCTGTATTTGCTTTGCCTTGTTTGGCAGAGACTTCCTGTATTTACAAACCCACAGAGGGATTAATAACCAGTCCTACTCCATAGCTCACTCCAACAACCATGCTAGGCTCAGGCCAGGAGCACCCCTCCCACCAGAACACAACTTACTGAGGGAGCATTTGGGACAAGGTCACTTTCTGTCCTTCCTGTCTGCATTGCAGTGTGAACTCGGACAGACTCATAAATGGAGGGCTCCTCCACTTGCCGTGGGTAGGGATGCTTCAACACAATTAAAGTTCCTGGACAGAAAAGAGCAGGAGTCATCCATCTGGCAAGTCCAGCTTAGAAAATAACTTGTCAGTAGCTACATCTCTGAGGAATGGTTAACTTCACCTTCTCCTAAAATTAAAAAGGCAGCTGTGGAAACTGTAAACAGATGGTACCTTCTCAAACCTTTACCCTTGCAAATGCTTGCATGAAATCTCTTGACTTTTTAAGTTGCTTTCCTGCTCCAGAGGCTGGCTTGGAGGGTGGGCAGGATGCTAAACTAGACAGGAGGCACAGGAGTCATGGGGTTTGCCAACATGCCACTAGCTGGTGCTTAAATCACCTAATCTGTCAGAGCTTGGCTACAGGCTTCCTAACAGTAAAGCCACGTTAACATCACCCTCAACTGTTCTTACCACAGCTCTTCCCAGTTAAACTTTTCATTGCAGACATTCTTCTTTTTCTCCAAGCGAGGTCATGTTTATTGCATGTTCCCTGAAAAAAACCTGCATTCTCAATAGTGAATGCATTGTACTTTTAGTACAATAGTACTATTGTACATTTCAAGAACATCCTTGAAATAGTAACTGCTCCACCATCTAACACCATTCTTTAAAAATAGTGTCACAGCATTCCAAATGCTGCTCCATTTGCATTTTATGCTGATATTGCAGCTCTTAAAGAGGAGGGATGCTAGAACTGGAAGCAACTTGAACTTGAAACCTACAGATGTATGAGTAATTTAAAAGTATTCTGCAATGGGGAGGGTTAAAAAGAGAAGTGGAAAAATTGTATTTGAAGTAACCAGCTGAAATCTGTTTGTAGGCACAGGGGGTGTATGCAAATGGGACCTATTCAACTTGTTGTAGGTGGAAAGTCAACATTGGTTTATTTCTATCTGGCCTTGCAGAAAAATTATGCTTTACCATTTAAAATAAAATTGAGAACAGCTCCATCACCATTCCAGAGAAACTACTCCTGAGCTGTTGCACAGAATCAGGATATCATCATCTGTACCCCATGGACAAAAAGCTCCATTGCAGAAACTGAAGCACTAATATAACATTTTATACAATATTTGTTTTCTCTGTGGATTTTTTTATTTTTTGCCTTCACAAAGACAACTGTACAGAATAATCTGGTACTTATACACAAGATCTAGCAAAAGCTGCACTGTAGCAAGATTATTCTGCCACGTCTGCAACTGCTGATGCTTGGATTGGAGTTGACTCTGATGAGCCCCTACCTCATTTTTGACAAAACATGGTTATGACCCAGGAGAAATCTGACACCTGTATCTGAAGGAATATTGCCTGAGTGTTAATTCTCTCTTCCCCTCTACTGTTTTCCATGGTATTTTAAGGTGGAAGGTTTCTTGATAAGACATCCAATTTTTTTTTTTTTTAAATTTTGTAGCACATCTGACTTAGAGGTTTCACAGAGCCAGTAGAATCTGATTAGGAAACCTTATGGCAGCAAGTGTTAATCTCATCCATAGAGATCAGATAAAACCAATGTCTTGCTTATTAGTGTCTGTAACACATGCAGTGAAGGAGTGAGGAATGGGGAAATACAAGTTTTATGTCATCTGAAATCTTTACAGGGCTAGGCCTGTGGGTGCATGCTTGATTTCCCAGGAAAAATAGCTCACTGGCACAGATCATACATGTGGGAGCTCTGTGTTTGAACCACTCTTGAAAGCAATTTAAAAAGAGTGTTTTGAAAGATACAAGTGCTATATTGAGTGTAGAACAGCACTTTTCTTGGGGGGAGAAATTGGCAAAGGAGCCCTTGAATTTAATGTTTGGGTTAGCAGAGTACTGGTGCAAATTTAGTGTGTGACAAGGTACAGTTATTGCATGTGCCAGCTATCATTTAACTGGGCTCTTGCATACATAATTAGCACTGCTCTGAGTTATTTGCATACACTTGCCACAGAGGACACTGAAGTTTTGGGATTAACTTGTACTGACGTGTCTTCATCTCTTACACTTGAAGCTAAACATAAAACTGACATTGCCATGATAATATCCACTTTGTTTCTCCAGGGATTCTAGCCTGATGGCGTTCAATTCTTGTAGGAATCATGTTTAATATTTTGACCCTTTAACTCAGGCAGCACACTGGTTGTTAAAGAAACCTGTGGTTTTCTCTCTCCTCTTAAAAGCAAGAAAAATCACTGTGATGGCAGATGGCATCAGCATGGTGATGGCATTGCAGGCAGAACAGGAGAGTTGGTTAAAAACACATTCCCTACAGGAAGGAGGAGCATAACACTGTAGGCTCCTTCCTTGGACAAAGAATTGTGAGATGAAACCATTTCAAGTCACTTTTCTATTTATTTTATTGGGGGATTTCAAGTTCATAGATGAATATTTATTTCCTCACTATCACTGTGCTTTGGTTTTGCTGGTTTTGAGAATGTTCTAATCCTCCTGATATTTTGAAATCCTCCTTCCTCTGAGAAACTGAAAGGAGCTCACAGCCCTGGTTAGCAAAAGCCCAACAAGCTTATGTGTGGTTTGTCTTCAAAGAACTTGAAAGACTTTTCGAAGTGGAATTGATTTAGATACAAGTACAAATGTGAACTTATGAACACTTTAGCAGAAGATCTATTTGCTAGCACAACAGAAAAGATCCTTTTAGTTAGATCTTTGTGAAGCATGGCTACAAATGTGTTCACACACACAATATGGCTCTCCTTACCTGTTTCACTTCCAATTAAAGGCTGGTTTGCAAAGTGCATGACCAATTCTTTCAAGCTAGAAAATTCATTAAATCCAAATTTGAATGAAGTTCCTGTGTGCTCAACATGGAAGTGTTTCACAGAGTCTTTACCCCTAAAATAAAAGAGGAAGATTTGTCAAGACATAAATGCCAAAGGTATTTTGCAGATAAAATCCTTAAATAGCATCTTTCACTGCAGGGCCCCAGGTCACAGGCTGCCAATCACTGTCCTAGTAGTGATACTACTGCCATTACTGTCCCTCACTCAACAGAGCTGAAAATCAGATTGTAGTTGCTGACTTGGAGATATGAGATGATCACAGCCTAGAAAGGCCAAGTTGGTTAATTTAACTCTTGTATCAACAAAAAGACTCACAAGAGAGATTTCAAGCCTTCTGCCTAAATCCTTTCACTTACTGGGCTTCAGCCTTGAGGGTGTACTCAGTATGTGTCTTGCTCTTCAAGTAGCATCCCAATCTCACTGAAAATGTCTTCTGTTTCCCTTTGAAAAACAGGCTGTCTCTGTTTTGCACCCAAACAGGTTTAATAACATAATTTTACATACCTAAGGCTTTAGCAGTTGTTTGCTTTGTCTCTGTATTTGGATGATTGGTTCCACTAGGATGGGCACTGACAAACATGAACCTGGGTCCTTGTTCTCTAAGGGAAGTGACAGCTTTTGTTTATGAAACCTGATGGCATTTAGAGAAGTGTGCAAGGTCTCACTTCCTGGGTAGGCAATTATTTTGACTTCAAAGGACAGTGAAGCACTTATTGCAAGTATTTCTCCAGTGGAAAAGAGACTTTTGTTAATGTTACTAGCACCCAATGCAAACTGTCTGAGCAAAAACTTACACAGCAAATATACTGGAAAAGTGTGGTGAAGAAAATTAATTATAGCATCTCTTTCATTGTTCATTGCCACTTCCAAAGAAGATTATGGTTTCAAACTGGTATTTAAAGATTTATCTTTGAGCAGTATTTATGGTACTGTAGAAAACAGAAGAAGGCCTCTGTGGGCCTCCCACATGTTTTGTGCTACAGTAAGCTGAGGCACAACAAGACAAGTGCAAATGCTCAATGCCAGGGAAGAGCTGCTGTGACTCTGCTGCAATTACAGGCATTTCCATCTTTTTGTTTAATTTCTCAAGACAATGTTGCAATGAGAGCAAATTCTACTCTGCTTCCTACTTCCCTTTCAAACTGGGTAACGTAGCTGGGGGAGGGGATTTCAGGGAATAAGTGATCTCTCTTCCTACAGCTGTCAATAAAAACCTCAAGGGATGGCTAAGCAGTTTTTCCTTGAAAAACCCCAAACTATAATCATGACCAAAGTTCCTTGTGGGGCTGAGGCAGAAAATAAAGTAAAAGCTACAGAAGATATTTCAGGACAGAAGGAAAAGGACAGCTAGAATTGCTGAAGTTATCTTTTCTACAGAAATGTATCAGAACAAAACTCAATTCCTTATTCTACTATTAACTTTTAATATTAGTCAAAAAACTGAAAGAAAACATAACGTTAACCAGTAGAAAAATTGAAAAACATTTTTGAATCAAAATAAGTATTCAAAGGAGATGTAACAAGAGAAACTAGCAGAACAGAATAAAAGACCAAACTTCAGACTGGGCTATTCAGTTCACATGGTAATGCAGTGAGTAATTCTCACTATATGAAGAGCTGAACAAGAGACTGGAATGGGCCTGAAACAGACTTTTGTAGGTCTTCTAAGGCTAGAATCTAGTCAAGCAGCAAATTTATTTTCATTAATTAGCACTTGTGCTTCCTATTAAAAGAACTATTTAAATTTTGGTTTATTACAATAAGTTGTTTCCTGAATGCCCTTTAAAACTACCTTCAAGATACATATATATATTTTTAATTAGCTGAGGTAGCTACCTCAAATAATGCTTAACATTTTAAAATTAAAAAAAAATATTAACCAGAAAAACAATGATTCACATGAAATTACTTTTTTTTTAAGGAAAGCTATTGCTTATAAATGCCATTGTTCTTTTTGGCAACACTTGCACTGAATTCAGTCATTGCTAGTCTGAATACTCATTCTGAACCACCACCTGCAGATCTGTAGGGCACCCTTTGTATAAATGGCTGCCTATAGTGGAAATAATTTCAACAGTGTGTGTATAGGCACACTTGCTCCTAAATCTTCTGTCAGAAGCGGGTCAAAGACCTCCTTGTTGCCTTTCCTGGGGAACAGGGTATGTGCAAATCAGACTTTCCTCAGCTCCCAAGCAACTGCTCTTCCAGATTGTAACAGCTCCTGGTACTGAATGTGCAGAAAGCCACAATCTCAAGGGCACATGCTGTGCCCCTGTCAGGGGTGGAAATAACCAGCAGCATTACACTGATCAAAGTGACTTTAGAAAGTTACTGTGATTCAGCTGAGTTGTGGTCATGAATTGTTCAGAGGCTCAGTTTGCAGCAGGAATCAGCCTGCATGCACCAGTTTAAAATTTTGGTCTAGAGGCTGCTTTTATCACACAGCTGCCAAAGATTACAAATATTTTTAGGGCTGGTTACCTCTAACCAGCCAATGTGCAGGGAGTACCTTGTGTGTCTAACGCATGTGTCCTTAGGTTTCCTCAATAAAATGTTGTGGCTTCTCTCCTTCTAGGAGACTGTTTAAATGTGATTCCATAGTGAAGTAACCAGGCCAGGCTTCCTCTGCTCTGGTTGTATCCTGAACAGTTCTGTCCTAAACTGCTGTAATTGACTTCAAGGCCCTGGCATTGATCACTCACAAGCTGTTATTCAATTTAGTCACCTAGACCTGGCTAAGACTTAACCTTAGCACAGAACAGAGGAGTAAACCAGCCAAACACTGGATCATCCTTCAGAGGTGATGGTTCCTATACAGGGATTCAGAAACTAGTAAGATTAGCACCTGTTAAGTGTTTGCTGCTGTCCTCATCATAAAACTTTTCTATTCCCACCAGCTGTTTCTTAAGCTCTTTTAAATGACATGCAGATTTTTATCATGCAGACTGAAAATTTACAGCCATTCTATAGAATTATGTTTTCTATCAATGGGATTAATTCATAATTTGGAAAAATGAGAGCAGCTGTCAAATCCAATCATTTTTTTTCCCTCTAGCAAAATGTCATTCAGTGGGATTACAGCAAAAGGAATATATTTCAAAACAGTTTAAGCCCTAGGGAAAAAGAAAAACCTGTGATGCTTGGGACATTCAAACGTGGAAGTAAGTGCAGCATTAGATTAGTTCACCCTGTCCATAGCCTACCTTACAGAGAGGGAGTACAGATCTTCCCTTTCATTACTCTTCCTCAGAAGATAGCTCCCATCCTGCCCGTTGGAGAGCAGCAGCGCTTCTGCTGCGTGCCGGGTGAGATTGTCATGGTACCACCTGGGGAGACACAAGGAGACACAAGATTGTCATGGTACCACCTGGGGAGACACAAGGGGTTACAGCATCCTTCATTCTGGTGCTGCTTTTTGGAGCAGGGTTAGAAACGGCAGTGTTAGTTGCAGTCCTTCCTCTACAATTTTGAGTTACCACCCTCCTCACAGGCACTCACGGTTTACACAGATCTGTGCCTCTTGCAGTGGCCATCTTTTGACACAGTCAAAAAACTATTTTTCCTTAACACAAAGTTGTGTACAAACAGCTGAGTGTTTTGCTGGATCTAAAAACCCTGCCAATTCTGCTTGCATGAGCAACAAATTACCCAGGTCTGTGCTGATAAGGTGAAAGCAGCTTTGGGGGGTATAGAGAATCCTTTGTCTATTTTCAGAAGCTGCACTTCCTGACATATGTATGTTCTTTGGTACACATCCCCTTCTGGGCAAACAGGCAGTGCCTAAACTCCTCATAAATTCTGTATTTCCTTCAACGTGTCTTCACTGACAAGAACTGCAATTAAACGTGCTTGCCTAAGCTTAGAATTAAAGGGAAAAAAATTAACTGACAAAATGTCAGTGAAAATTAAGATAGCTTGCCATTGTTGCCTCTTGGCCACCTGTGAGCTGAGTAACAAAAGAAAACATTTAAACACTGTTTCAATTTATCTTCAGTGAAAATAAACTTCATTTTTATATCAAAAGTTTTGAAAGGACTTCACAGGGAGAAAGCCCTGCAAAGAAGTCCAGGAAGTGTAGTTTATAGGTTTGTTTCCATTCAGAATGCTCCACAATGGAAACACCCAGTTTTTAACAAGAGACAAGGATCTCACTAGAAATGAGCCTGAGACTGAGCACAAAAAACTGGAGCTGTAAAAGGTTGGAGCTGAAATCCTGCAAGGCATGTGATAATAACCATAGCCATGCACATACACGAGCCTCTGGAGCAGAAAGAGGGAGGGATAATACACCCAAGGCTCTGCTGGGAGCAAGCTTCCCTGGTCTGTGTGTGGAGTGGTGCCAGGTCACCTTTCCCTTCCTTTTAAATACCTGCAGCATTGGGAGCAAAGCCTGTCACTGCTTCAGCCAAAGAAACACAGTTCCACTGAAAGCAGAAGTGCCATGGCAGCACTTTCCACAGCTTGTAACGTGGCAGTCTTAGAAATGAAACCAGGTGTAACTGTATCCTCCTTCTCCTTAGCTGTTCATCCCAAATTTCCACCAAACTTGGCACCTCTCACAAAGCTTTAGCTCTGGATTTGGACGGCTGCCTATTTGAAAGGCCAGCTGGCTGATGAATTGCTTTATGAGAGACTCCAGGCTGTTAACCCAGAGGAAGAGAAGATCCATGTGAAACTCAATACAGGCAGGGCATTGCTGCTTTGGCTCTAGAATGTGGTCCATCTACACAGTAGAATAAAATAATGAATATTTAAAGAGTCAAAGTGTCATCCTCTGGAACACCTGTTAGCCAAAATCCGCTTTGGGATTAACTGCCCAAGTAAGGAACAGGCAAAGGTCAGGTCATTCCTGGTGTGGCAGGATGGTCCCAGCATGGCCAGACCTGCAGCTGAGAATGTTGCACTGTGCTTTGGGTGGGATTTCCTCACACTGTTTGGCTAACTTCAGTGCAAAAGAAGCAGATGTTGAGAAAATCTGTGAGTGGTCATTGTCAGGAAGGAAGCAGATTTAGTTTGATGTTGCTCATAACTGTGCTGTTACCTTATTTCCAAAAAACAGCCCTTTGCTAAACTTTTGAGAGAGAAGTCACTTAAGTTTAAAAAATGCTGTGTTTAAATTCACACTCTCTTTACACATAAAAGAGCAGTGACTAATGAAATGTTACTACTATGCAAAAAAAAAAAAAATACATAAACCAACAACAAACCCCTTAATTGGGAAAATAATGTTGTTTGAAAGCAAACTTTTAAAACTTTGCTGACAAGGCTGTAGCAGTTTCTTGCCTAAATATGCTGTCTCAGACAAAAATCCCTCAAATGTTACTATGTTCCTCTTCTTCAGCTCAAAAAATAGAAGTGGATGGGAGACAGTAATGCAGATCTTGGTGTCAAAGGGACTGCTACATGTAGTTTTGGGATTTTTCTCTTCCTGACTGTGACAGATGGTTTGATCAGGTTACTTTGATATTCCACTGTGAAAATGGTCACACCAACTTTGTTCCAATTGCATAAACACAGGTAAAATATTAAAATGCTGAAGAAAATTTAGAATTTGCATGACATGCCACCAGGAAGGTAATCAAATACTCACCTATACAGTCTGCTCTCACAATCAAGCCTGAGCTGACAGTACAAGTAATTTGGAAACTTGAGAGCAGTTGTCAAATCCAATCCAATTTTTTTTCCTCTAGCAAAACTAATCCCCAATGTCCTGTGATTAGACACTACTAGGTATACTTCACGTAAATTTAAGTATTTTTCACAGGGAGAATCCTTCTATTTATCTGTCTCAGAAAAAAGACTTTTAAGCAGTTCTTTGAAATTGGCAAGCAATTCAAGATGGGATTTATGCCTCATTTGGCAAAACTGTAAAAGGCAGACCACCTTCAGGTGAAGTTTAGGTTGTCTTCTGAGTTACACTGGGGCAGGAAACAGTTGATACAAAACACAATATTGTATCAACCTTCCTGCTGTCTTAAAACAAGACATAAAGGAAATTAAAATGCTTTACAAACACCCATCTCTTTGAAGACCCTAAAAGTCCTTTATAAGGTGAACTGTCTTAAATCTTCGGTTTTGAACATGCTGGATAAAGTTGGATAATCAGGATGTTTCTGAAGGTGCCTCCAAAAGTCACCTTTACAGAGTCTCGTATTCACTACAAAGCAAATCCAGAAATCTGCTCTGTACTTTGACACCTTTCAGACTGAAAGCCATCAGTAGTGTAAAAATTGCCTGAGGTTCTTGATTGAGATTTCTCTGAGAAACACAAGAAGAAAGATAGATGAAATTCTTTCCTTGCTTCAACCCCACTTCTTCTGGCTGCTCTTGGCCTTGTACACCCTCCTGGTATGTATACATACTTCTGGGAGGTTTCCCTTTTCTAATAATTTCATTTCTTCTATTAATAAAAAAAAGTGTGGTCAACTTTTTGGGGTTCCATTTCCACAATTTGACTAGCAATCTCGGGCTCAGAGTTTATAGCTGCTGTCATTTATCCATTCTTGTTACTTTAACTTCATCCTAAATGGCATTAAATCTCTTTATCCCACCCATGTAAGCATGCTTGTGCTGTCACTGTGTGTGGCTGAATGGCCATGCCATCCTTCCTGCTCTTTGGAATGGCCAGTGAAGGCATGTCTTAGAGTGGGCAAGCACAGCCAGTGAGACCACTTTTGCTACCCTTTGAAAAAGAAACCATTTCCAGACATCAGCCTATTGTTTATGCCACACTGCATTGGTGATGGCACAGAGGAAGGACTTCACTGATGGCTTTTACAGGAAGGAGAAGGAAGTGAAACACCCAGTGCCCCAGAATGCCCAAACTCATCAGAGCACTCAGCCTTGCCCTGAAGATCTGTCCCTCCAGACAGGATGCAATCATGCTAAAATCTCTTCTTAGGAAGATCTCTCTGTAGTTAATGCAGCAACTAGAGCTACCTACACCATGGTGAAGATCAGGAATACGTTACAGCAAAGTCTGGGGTGGGAAACTCTTTGTTCAGGTTAGAACATCATCCTCAAAATGTTCATTCATTCTTTAACAACCCAAGCTGTTCCAATGAAAAATGTTAATGAAACTTCATTTCTGTGTCTCCTGCAGATGAGTGCCCTTAGGTATGGCATCTATCAGTTATGATAATGCTGTTTTCAAAGCAAGCACCTGGATATTTTGCCAAAAAAAAAAATCTGCCTGTGTAAATAGGGGCTGCTGAATAAACTTGTAGCTGGCATCAGGTGGATAAACTTTTTAAAAATAACAGAATACGCAAGGAACACAAACACTCATCCATGAAAGGGTGAATGCTGACTTGCATAATTCTCTTCTGAGCCATTTTAATGTGCAAATTGTGTAACATCCAGTAGAAACCCTTGCTTTTCTTCCTCACAAAAATGAAAGATAGTAGCACCAAAAGAGAGCACAGCTGGAAGTTCTGGGCTGCTATTTGGTGCAAGTGTTTGGAGTGATAACTCTGCAGTATGCCCAGCTACCAGATGAATGCAGTAGGCAGAGGCACACTTGATTTTTGTGTCCTTATCAGATGTTCTCAGGCAGGTGTAGCCTGGATAGAATTAGAAACTCTGTACATGTTTGGCTTGCTTTTGTGGAAAAGTCGGGCAATTCAAAGTCCCTTCTGTGAAGCAAGAAGGAGATTCTTGGTGTTCAGCTGGGTGACCTGTGCTGTCTTCCCAGAAGCTCCCTCCCTGCTGCAGCAGGGGCAATACTGCTGGCGCCATGTGGCGGGGGAAGCACTTGGGCCCTCTGAGCTGCAGGAGCCGAGCAGGAACACAGCAAGTCCAATTTATCCTTTGTCCACCTCTGAAAGGTAACAACGACCCAGGTTACTGTGAAGATGAGCTCCCAGTAGGACTTCACTCCCATAGTGCTCACAGCAGCTATTTACCCTCAGTTGCCTGACTGGATTTTTTGTTGTTCGTTTGTGGAGGGTTTTTGTGGTGGTAGATGTTGGCAAGTTTTATGTTTTGTTGTTTTGGTTTTTTTATTTAATTAAATATATCTTCTACCACGAGGAGTTGAATTTGCTCACACTTTGAAACTATATTCTAGCCTCAAAGATGTATTCCCACTCATGTTAAAGCAGTAGTCCCCAGCACTGCTCAATGGAGCACATGGGAAAGCACTGACTTATCTCCTCTGGCTGGATGCAATGTTCTTCACACGCCTGTGCTCCAAAAATGACTGTAAAACTGACTCACTAGTTCTCTGTTTTTGGCACTCTGTATTTCAGCAACTTCCAGCTCTTATCTGTCAAGTTTAGTACTTTGGGATCTTTAATTTTTTTTTCCCTAATATCACACCCTAGAA